AAAACAGAAACAAAACCACTCGAGATCAAAGTCCGACTCAGTGCATAAACAAAATCCGGATGAAAATTATAAATTGCCGTTGAGATAATTGTTTAGCAAATTAAATGGAAATAAAAACACACAGCGGCATTTATCTTAGAAAACACATGTTTCAGCGGCCGGTCTCTCTCTCTGGAGGGAGAGAGAAATCTAAACGTGCTTGCACACAGCACCACATTAATTATTTGAATTAAAGCAGTTATGCTACCAGCATAAAAAGGTATACGATGATACATAAACAATCATTTTTTGTTCCACCACACTTCTTTATCTCGTCTCAATTTTTAAACGGCCTTTTGTTATCACAAACGCAATGTTATTGTTTGGACATTACATAAACAACATGTAATCATCTTTTGATTGCAAAAGAGCCTGTCCCCAATTGCTCAATAGAACGACAGATAATAAGAACACACAAATGCAGCACCATTTTTCTTTGCTTTCCTTTTCCCCGTCCCATTCCGTCTCATTCCACGTCTCCGTTGATTTCGGAGTCGGTCTCTCGAGCATGACAATACATAAAAATGCAACACTTTATATTGTCGACGTAAAATGTTATCTCTATATCATCTGTACAATTTTGGGTTTTTTTTGCTGTTGCTGTCGATGAAGAATGGAATAAATTTTCAAACGAAAATTTGAACATTTTGTCAGACAGTAAACAAGAAATTTATGAACGGGTATAAATGGAATTGAGTAAATGCCTGTGAAGTGTTTGCCGTGCTGTGTGCACCCAATATTGTTCCGTTTCTCTCTCTCTCTCTCTCTCTCTCTCTCTCTCTCTTTTCTTTCCATTGATGGACATGATATTTTCATGACGAGTCCAAGGATTACTGAAAAAAATGGCAGGGACTATAATCTATTGTGTACATTCGAAAGCACACGGTCTTCCAAGACACTCGAGCATATGGGGATTTGAAACGGAATGTAAAAAAGATAAATAAATATAAACAGACACAGAGAGATAGAGAGAACGCAAAACGAAGCAGCCGATGAAGATTGAAGGAAAGCAACAATAAACAGCAATATTTGCATCCGGTGTAAGTGGATTTTAGTATTCATGTCTTGACTATTCGATGTATTTCCGGTTTTTGTTTTGATTCACTTCTTGGCAGCGTCTAGAATGCGTTAACCAGCACCATTCGCTCAATTCATCGTTACAACGCCACAAATGTATAAATAGCTCGCCATTCGGGCCATTTTTATTTATACCCAATGAACGTTCGCCCGCTTGGAATCATCATCGGGAAAATAACAATTTCGAACTGAATTGGCTAGTTAAAATACATTTTTTTTTCTGGAATTGGTGGGACCATTAATGAACCAGATTATACGAAAATAACTTGAAAATGAACAAAAAACAAAATGGAAAAAACGCTGATTCATTTCGAAGTGACAACGAAAAGAAGAAAAAAAAACCAACATCGTTCAAAACACATTTAGAGATGCGGGCGAATTGATGGCGTCGATTTGCAAATTAACTGTTCAAAGTCGCGTACAAACGAATCGGTTCGGTACTTTCCAAGAGATCTTAGAGAAGGCGAGAAACAAAAAAAAAACGCAAAACGCAAATGCAAAGCATGACCAGAAAATATCATTGGGGTATTAACATATTGTTGTCATGATATTTGAACATGAATATCATGAGTTCATATCGAAATGTCAACGTTCAGATGCCTTGCCAGCGAAACGCCTGAATTGAAAATTAAAATGCAATATTTCAGAATCTTTTCGTCTTGGCGACGATTTACAATTCTCTTTCTCTTGCCACTGAAGACCAAAGTCTTTGTTCTCTCCGTTCCATTGCGCAGTTAGTCGAGAGAGTTGCACTCTAGCTGTCTAGCACTCTAGAATTTATATGTATATATAACTAAACTGTATATAGTGCAATATTCTGTGCATCAGTGGATTAAAATCCATAAAATAGGCAGCAATCACTAGTTATTATTGTGTTATTTATGTCGGACGTAACGAGGAAAACAATAAATGGGTAAACTGCTTTGTGCAATGAGCAAAGTTAAAGAAGTTGTTGTGTGTATATCTTTCGTGCACTCGGTTTTGAATTCGTGTCTGCGCTGCTGCTGTTGCCATTGCTGTTGTTGTTGTTTTATTTGGGTAAAGCAAAAGCAAAAGCAATTTGCACGACAATTACGCTGTTCCTGGAATCAGAGATCGCTCCTTCTTGCTTCTTCTTCGTTCAGATCGAAATCGTTACGATAGCAATACGTGATTTTTGAGTAGGCGCCTTGGTTCGCGAAAAAAAACACAAATAAATATGCAAATGGCACATATGTTTGCCATAGATTTGGCTGGTGAGCTGGATGAATGAAAAATGGCCGTTTTCCATTCCATCGAATCTCGCAAACACAACAGTTTCGCTCAATTTGTTGTCCTGTATATTTATCGCCTATTCTGTGTCGGCACGGTCGCAGGCAATGCGCACGCGATATATTGGCAACAACAACACAAGGAACCAGAGTAATTTTGGTTTCTACATTTCACATTTTACATTCGTTCATTTTCTTTAGCATAGAGCTTATGCAAATTACGTCATTAGATAAATGTGTTTACAAATGATTACATTGTTTGCCTTTCTTCGGCACTGCATTCGAGATTTGAGTTGTTTGGGCATTCATTCACGCACTGAAATGCGGCCGCTGCTGTCGCGCCACTGCAATAAGAGCTAATCTCCTCGAAAACGATTATTCAAAATGACTGGGAAGTAGTCTTTTAGGTTGTTCGAAAATTATCAGCGTCGTCAACGACGGCATAGCGAAAAATGTTCCGTTTAACCTAAATTCGGCGATATTCCAAATTCCTGCGAGTCATTAGCATCAATCTTTGAATAAATATTTTGGAAACATGGAATATGCCGGGGATTTGCTCTCTAATGATGAATATTTAAAGCGGCCATGTTCAGTTTTGCACATCGACAACGACTGAATCCATTATCTAGCCACAAACTCACAGTTAATTTTGACGGCAATCTTCTAAATTTAATGGGCGATGTTACAGCCCAAGTCATTTATTCAACTGTTGTCTATATATACGGCACGTATATTTAATCAAAAATGACTTTTGAAATGCATTTTTAATAAGTGTGCACAATATTATGGCAGTGAAAGACTTTATCGCATATATGAATGCAATCAAAATTCATAATTCAATTGCGTCTCAAGTTGAAATGGTTTGCTGCCTCTTTTAATCTAGCTGATTCGAAGAAAATTGAAATCAAAGAGAGAGAGAGAGAGCAAGACGCACAACGAATTCCATATCCTTCTTAACGATGTACGAATTGTCATGTTTAATATGCATTCCAGAGCAGTTTTTTTCCCGTCGATTCTTTGTATTGCGTTCGTCTTTCCTTTATATTAATGCTCATAATCTGAAATTCATATTCTGAATGACAATATGACGAAAGAAAAAATCAGTTTCGAGTCATAAAATTCGAGTGAGCAAATTCTAAAGAATATTACGCATGAAGAAGCATATATGCGTCGAATTTAATTTTTTTCTTCATCCATCGTCATCGTTTGCACTACAAAAGCAACAAAACTACAGGGAAAACTGCAATTTCGCTCCAAAGTTCAAAGTAAAACGAACTACCGAAATACAATTAAAAATACGGCTAATACAGAAAAAAAAACGCTCTCCTTTGTTAAGCTAAAATTGATTGTGCGCAGTCGGTTCATCGTCATGTTGCCATTGTTTAATACCAGCCCAAAACCCAAATGAATTGACCGGTTACGTTTCAACGCGCACAATTTCTAGTTGCATATATGCATTAAGACTTTGTATGTGAAAATGTTGAATTAGTTAGTTTGGGGCTTAAGCATGAGAACTAATCCTGGAATTTTATTTATTATTAGTGTATATTTCATTTGCTTTTCTTCAGAAAACGACAGGAAGCTATTGTTTCTTTTTTTGATTTACATTCTGTTTTTTTTTTTGTCATCAGTCGAACTGTGTTCACACATAATGATGTTACCTGATGCAGAACGACGACGGTTTATCGCTCATCAAAATAAAAAGAAAGAACAAAAATTCTGTCGTAAAATGTTACAAATGGTCAGTGTCTATGTAATTTATCAATTTTGTCGATCTTTCTTATGTAAACAGGTACTTTGCTTTTCTACCAACGAATAGGTGTACACGTACAGCGACCGCAAAATCTCGTGCGAAACATTCATGAACAACGAAAGTTCATTGTTTCATTGGTAGTGACATTATCACTTTTGTACTCGATTCTTTTCCCATTGTGCATGTTCGTGTGCTGGTTCAAAGTCGTGTCGCGGGGCCTGTTCGTTCTTAGTATGGCAACAAACGTTCTTAGTATAGCAACAAATGTTCTATAGGCCGGCAAGCGAGCAAACGAGCAAATGACCGACCGAACGCATGCAACACAACATCTGATAGTAATAACCGTAATTAGAGACGCACGATAATGGTCCATGACATAAATATTTCCTAATTTACATATTTTCTATTATTTTTTTCTTCTTATCGTCTCTTTTTCTCGCATCATTTGGTGCAATCGGCATCCATAAATTGAACGATTTGAAATATGCGAAAGTTATGAGTTCAATTTAAGAGAATTAAATTCAAATGACTACGAAGACGATATTTTCCAGTTGAAATGTTGACTTGATTGCACGTAGGATTGCGTAGGCTTTCGGAAAAGTTTTGTGTCGCTTTGAATAGAGCGATTTTAGTGTAATAATAATCAAACCAATCGCTCTAATGCATCGGACAGGCTTTCACTATGGATTTATATAAATATCAGTTCATTTTGTCGTGCACTGAAGATTTATCGATGATTAGAGCTAGTGGTTTTAACTGTACAATGAAACCGCAGAGTCATTTTGATACGGTCGTTCAGGAAACAAAATCATAAAACAACATGCACACACATTGAGAGATAGAGATGTGGATAATAAATTTGGTTTTTATACTATGCTTACCGATTCATCTGAATACATTGATGAGGAATCATAATCCGAATAATCCATTTTCCCAGAACCATTTTTGTTCACGCAATCCATTTAGAATTGCTCTGCACGACTTGGTTTTGTTTTCTTTTGATATGAACGGTGATTTTGTACACAAAGAAATGATCCAAAAAAGCAAAATGTTCGATAAACCGAGAAAAAAAAAATATTTGGATTTCAGTCGAAAATTGCTATGTGGACACGTTTTTTCGGTCTGTGACGTTATATATCAAAGTTCATATTATGTTTTGTGATTATTTTTTTTTGATGTGGTTTGGTTTAACCGCGACGCAAATATCGGTTGATTTACAATGTTGCTGAATGTTACTCGTTCGGGTTTTCGTTGATGAATGTTATTTTTAGATTGACCACTCTGCTTTTTAGTATGGACGTTTTAACATTCCAGCATTTTCATTAGATTGAGGCATACATACATATATACCGTGTTTGCATTTAGTTCTTTTCTCTCGCACACCATAAATAGTCAATTCCACTTTTGTGCAACAGTCCTTCCATCCAATTACGGCATAAGCGATGCACTGGAATCAATTTTGTCAAAATGTTTTGAGTTCAGCCCGACATAAACAGAAAACCGTCCACTTTCAAAGCTGGAAACTGTGTGTAACAATTGCTTGGGCACGATAAAAATCCATCCAGCAAAATAGAGAGAGAGAGAAAAACCGCACTTGGAAACGGCAGCAAAGGAAAAATATCTCGAACACGTTTTAAAATGAAATATTCTGTTCCATCCTATTTAGTCGTATGCATTTCTTCTCTGTGTTTTGTTGTGTTGCTGTTGTTGTTATTTTTTTTTCACTCTCTTCAGTTCTTTCTCTCCGTTTCTTTATATATATTCGCGTCTTTTTTTCTCATTTGTCTTATAAAGAGTCTTGTTGGTTTTTCTGTTAGTTTGGGTCGTCGCCTTGCACTCACTTAGAGTTCGAATATGAGATAAATTTAAATATTAAAGCCAACGCATACACACGCACAATGGAACGAACAAACGAACGAATGAACGTGAAAAAAAAAACTAAAGAGCGAGAAGAAAACGATACAAATTTATTAACGCGACTGCAGACACTCTTCGCTTAATTTAAACAGCGTACACGAAACAAATATTTATATGCAATTCCGAGGAAATAGAAACACATCGAAATTCAGGCGGTTTGATCGAAAATATCAAAATTCATGTGAACACAAACACACACACTCATCGACTAAGTCGCGCCGTATAAACTTGTTTTCATAAACACTCTCGGTGTGTAGACGGTTGTTGTGAAATCAAATATGTTACTAACAACAGAACCAATACTCCCAAAATAGTTTTTTTTATGATTGGATGAAAGAAAAAGAATATGTATATATATCGAAAAACGATACAGCATAAACGTGACTGCACGGTTCGGGCGAACTGTATCGACTGAATAATTTACTGCTTTGTCTGTGCAATGGTGCATTGGGACGAAGGCACGACGTGTGTACTTGCGAACATAGCCAACGCGATAGGTACTGTGTGTATGGCTCATGTGTGTGCGACAACATGAATTTCTAGCAGTCGCAACGCAAGCAACGGTTGCCATGTATGGACGCCGATCCTGTTGCGTTTGTGTGGGTTCTCTTGTGTATACATCCGTGATATTGGAAACACACATTTTCTTGCTCGGCTATGCTAACGCGCATTGCTGGCGACCGCATGTTTTCTTATTTCACCATTGTCGTGCTTCGATTAAATCGCAGTCAAATAAAAAAACAGTAACAGCAGCAACAGCAACTGCTATAATTTCGAACGCTTCAGAATTAATCGTGCGTCGCGTTTACATTGTGGCCGCAACACATAGCGTTCTCTCGACGATGATGACTCATTCGTTTGATGGCGACCAAATAACAATCAATATTAAAATACACATCACATAAAATAGGCGGACAAAACATACATACACTTGGTGCGTGAAATGTTCGCTTGTTTTCAAATGTTTCTCTCCGGTTCGTTCGTTCGTTAGCTTTTTTTATTGATTGGGAATTCTCTGCATCTATCATTTCACATATCATAAACAGTCTGAGCAGAAAAAAATACCGTTTACTATTTTTGGAATGATCACGATGAAGCTGTGTTATTCGTTTCTTTTTTTTTCTATTCGAAACCCATCAGCACATGTTTATGATGCATTTAACGTATCTGTTAAAGCAGTGCAGATCATGGTCCTGGTGGCGTTTTTTTCTTCAGTTCATTTTATACGGTTGTTTCTCTAGAAAAGTTGTCAAAAATCGTTTTTTCTTTTTCTTCTGATTAGCTCTGATTGTTCAGCATTTAGAGTTAAGTAGATAATGCATGGCTTCGTATAATATCCAATGTTCAGGTTTGAAATTTTAAACTTGACTTGAGCACGGCTATGGACAACGCTCTGCCGTTGTACAGAAGGGCATAAAGCAATAACAGTACCATCAGAAGCGAATGTACTGGATTTAAATCGAAACAAATGTGGTGTAAACGCATGGTTTATATCGTACTGCAGTCACACACATTCTCATTCTCATTGCGCTTCGGGGTGAGTCAGCATCGCAGATGCAGGAAGGCGGAAAGCGTGTAATGCAATTATTACCATCTCTCACTACCATTGAATGCGATATCTGACTCTATCCAGTAGTTGGCTGATTCGACCTCAGATGCTACGACTACACCAACGATTATTGCTACAAATATTTCTCCGGCATTTCTCTTGTTGCACACAAACGAGCATCATCTACATTGAAACAGCGTGTTCTCGTTTGACTCGGAAAACAAAGTGCACCATACAACGAAGAAAAAAAAATCCCATTTCGCTCCCGAAAAAAAGAAATATTTGTTGTTAAACATCATTTGGGCACTCGGTTGTTCTCAAAACTTTGCATTGTTTGTATCTGAATGAAAATCAGCTCATTCCTGTGCGCTTCCACATTTTGATTGTTTCAATGAAAAAAAAAGGCAAAATCCTGCTTGGCTATCGATTGTACATTTTTATGCATTGGACGCCAATTGGAAAACTTTTACGATGCAATTATTAGTTCACGAGATACCGTTCGGAATTCTAATGGCTATTGATGAGTAAGCTAGTGAGAGAGAGAGAGAGAGAGAGAGAGAGAGAGAGAGAGAGAGAGAGAGATGGAGAGAAAAGTGTGAGCATCGTTCGGTGGATCGCGAGAGCCATGCGCTTTATAAAGTTCCGTTTCGGAAGCACACTACATTTTTCACTATAAAATGAAACTTTATCGATTTGTTGCAATACCACGCTCATCTAAATGGAACTTTACACATTATGAGGTCATTCCTTTTTTTTCGTTCATTTTCCCTTGGTCCGTGTAAATGGAATCGAAGCCTCGTGAACCAGAATTGCATTGCCATTTTTCGCTTACTCTATTCTCACAGATTTAATGCATAGATAGAACAATGAACAAAAAATTGGGTGATTCACAGTTGCAATTCTTTCACCATTTCTTAATTCTTTCTCTCGCTCTCTCCCTCTCCATTCATGACTCATTTTGTCCAATCATAAGTTATCAAATAAGTGAGATATATAGCTTTGGGAAATATTATAGATTGGGCAGCTGACTCATGCAGCTCTATTAGATGCTGCGTTCGTTTACTACGCGACCACAGTTTAATACTTTGTAAAACACAAATGACAACATTACGGCAAAACTTTGTGCGAAGAAGAAAGAAGAAATAACAAAAGTGATGCACTTTCAAAACTTCTATAAAGTAATAAATTCTCGCCGTTATGGAGGTGAGGGTGGGAAAAGTTTATTGAATTGAATGTATTTCGCGTGTTGGTTCATTGGCGTTCCCTAGCCACCTGACCAAAGTGAAAATAAAAATCGCCCCAGGCGAATATGATTTGTTGTGTCACGCGCACCCCACTCGTAATCGTTGCCATTTCTCTCTCAAATCGATGTTTGATTAGCTAAAACGTTTCGTTAACTGCCACCTGCAATGCTATGTGCTATTCGCTGCGTGGCATCCGTCAAATCAATTCTAAATTGTGCAAAAACTAGCAAAACCCAACCCACCAACAATTCGACATACAAATGAACTTCGAAAAGAAAACCCAAGTTAATGAGTTTATCCTTGAAGCAAAGTCTTTTTTTCACTGTTTACTTGTTTTTACTTGACTGCGAGTCTAATATGAGTTAATCTGCATAACTTTGCCATTACCCGCAGATATGGGTTTTTGTTGCTGTTGTTATGGTCTTAAATTCGTTCATTTTATTGATAACATTAAGGTGGAAAAAGTCAAGAAAATTTATAAATCAAAAATACGGCAGAAATTCGTATCCACAGACATGTTTAATGTGTTTGTGTGTGTATGTATGCATCGAAGACATAAATAAGCTGATAAAACAGCTATAGAAGTGAGACTGAAATACACCTTTCTGTTTGTTTAAATTAAATGAAAAGTGAATAGCAGTTCATTGGTGGAAAAAGCGAGCACATGGACGAAGTGAAACGAAACGAAAAAAAAAGAAGAAGAAAAAAACGAGCAGGTGGCACGCGACCCGACATACACTAAAAACTGTTTTTTTCTTTCTTCTTTATGCAGGTTACGTTTTTTCTATTCGTTCGATCATTTTTTTTCTGCTGTTGTTGTTGTTGTTGTTGTTGTTGTTGTTCAAGTTGATTCTTTTTCAGATTTCAATACTTCCCTTCCAATTGTTTTGCCTTCCTTCTTTCGATGTCTTTCCATTTCGGTTCGTTATTATTCTTGAACAGTTGCAGCAGCAGCAGCAGCAGCAGCAGCAGTGTTCGTAAGAGATACGACGATTTGGATTTTCTTAACTGAAAGCCCGCTAACTATAATGCTCCATAAAGGACATAACCGAACAGATTGTTTTTTGTTACGGTGAGTTAAGCGAAAATGAAAAAGGACCATGTAAAATTTTGCTGACTGAAAGCAAACATAAGTCAATCCATGTTCATGTGTCCGAATGAGTGTGTAATGAAGAAATGTACGACCGCACAATATCCAAAATAAATTGAACAGCTGGAACCAATTTCATTTTGATGATCGGCAAGCTCACAATTGGCCTCTCTCTCTCTCTCTCTCTCTCTCTCTCTCTCTCTCTCTCACTGTGTGAGTGTAATGTGTATCAGAGCAATATTTTTTTCTCCTTCGTTTCTTCAGTGAGCTCGCAAGTCGATATGTGTATTGAATTACCCATTGGAGTAATAATAATAATATGGCTGCCATGATGATGATAACATTAGGCTCAATTTTTGGGATTGCTGTTGAGGAATACAAAAGCAAGTACGGTCTATTCCATTTAAAAACAAAAACCAGAAGCAACCAGAAGAACGAACGAGCGAACCAAAAGATCAATTACATAGTTTCATGAATCCTATTTTACCAAGAACATTAAACAATGAACAACAAAACATGTGCCATACATTTTGATACACGCAACGCATACATTACTCGGCCATATAATAGGCTAGGGATACACTCCGAAATGCTCACTCTGAAAATTTTAAATTAAACCAAATTAAAATGCATTATCCAAGTGTTCTATTCTGTTTTGAGTTCCGGCCGTACAGTTCATGGGTTTGCGTTCAAACTACACTCATTAAAATATTGTTAGACAATGCTGTTGCTCTCGAGATATAATTGATAATTGCGAGAAAATAAAAGCGTGAATAAAATGGAAATTATCATTTTTAGAGGCGATAATGTGCACGTTTTTCTCTTAATCAATGTGTTTGCTACAAGCAAGGCTGGCGCATAACCTGCACTATGTAAATTATGATAGCCGAGCAGAAAAAAGAAACGCACGTGGCGTAAAATGCATGGCGAACGGAGAGGCACGTACATGAAAAAAACGAACTCATGATTATGTTTTGGATTGCAAAAATCCAGATAAGACCGTGTGTGCAGACGACATAAGGTAGTGAGCGAAGATGGTAAAGAAAAGAAAAAGCGCGAAGAGAACAGGTGAAGCTGGATTTTCTAATTTCTAACGCCTCCTGAATAAATACAAGCAGCGATGAAATACAACCCGACTGGAGATGACATCAATTGGAAATATGGCTTGGAATACATCGTTCTTTTTTGTCGTTCCTTTAGCTTTCCCTTTTGGGTTTCCTTTTAGTGTGGCCTGTTGTAATATTTAATTCATTGTGTACAGCATCAACATGTGTCATACTAGTTTTTTTCCTACTTCTACCTCTTCTTCTTCTTCTGGGCGATACTCCAAAAATGGTTGATATATTCTTTGGTTGTCTAATTTTCGTGTCGAGTGTGCTCGTTTATTATGTATGTTTGTTCTATTGTGCTCCTGCAGAGAGCGAAAAAATGTTCAATTTCATCTGCATTTCGGTTACTTCGTCGTTTTCTATAGTTTGCCATGTCTGTCCTTATTGTGTATTTATTTTTCTGGTCTACTTAGCTCTTGATTTTCTTATATATACGG